TGCAACTGTGGTTGCCATCACTTTACAGGTCAATCTGATTAAATCAAGATAAAGGCATTCTCAGACCACTTCTATTTCAGATTCCTTAGCTTGGTTATCTAATTTCTGTGTGACTTGTTGCATGTAGATTGTAGACTACAACCAACCCATCAATATAAATTCATTAATTACCATCAAGTACATTACTTGGAAAGTAATCACATCATGAAGGAAAAGCATGCATGCGGGCTCTTTCGTCAAGGACGGATCTAGAATTTTTTCAATCAACGGCACCATTTGACTATAAGAAACAAATATAGGGGTATTTTTCATAACAACATCATTTAGTCTGTTGGTTAGTTTATTGTTTTTCATACTTTAAGCTAAAAACTAAGAAAATGACACTAACGAGATTCGAACTCCGGTCAAGGTGGAATTAGAAAAGCCTCGCAAACCAACTCTACCAAGGGAAATTTGTGTCCTCGTAGTTTCAAAATATGTATGGTACGGAGATACATAACAAATTGATATGGTGACATTTTTCACGACCCTATAATTTTTTACATTAAGACTCAGGAAAGAAATCGGTGGCATGGACCCGCCATATGCTCTACACTGAGTCCGTCCCTGCCCCTTGCCAACCAAGAAAAGCTAATTAAACCACCAACCTTTCTCATTGAGCTCTCAACTCGATTCAACGACGATCGACATAATTCACTCAATCTTGCTTTATTATTTGTGTTCACGTCTAACCACGGGTAATGATGAGACATAGATGACTCGTTGAACCAAATATTTTTCATCTTTATATGCCTATAAATATCATCATCTAAAACACATTATCCTTCAAGTTAGCATTTAACATAAGAAATCACTACATGTATTGAACAAGTTATTGCAGACCTGCAAGGCAGCCATTAGGAAAGATTAAAGGAGTAGGAGAATGCATGAACATAAAGAGGTCGATTAACGAACAACTATATGTGGAGTTAGTGACTGTCGATGATTTCAACTTCTGGTTTATGGGGTTTATTAATTACAAGAATGTGCATATAGAATGTACATACACACTACAATACATATGTATATGTAGATGTCTATTTGCTTGTATGCATGTATATACAAGTAGCTAGCATATGTCTATTTACGTATGTGTGTATATATAGTGTACATTTATACTATGAATGTATACATGACCACCCATTGTTATAAAGTATACATAGGTATACACTATCCACTAATATACACAATATACACTATACATCCAACCCAATATATGACCTGATCATACACTAGCTACTATATATACATACATAATCAGTCAAAAGAATATATACATATACATTATACGTATTATGACCCATGAATTTATTAAAACCTGTTACTGCCCGTGAAACCCATTAGTACCCATCAAAAGGCCCACAACAAAGGCCATTTACTGGTATGGTTATCACTAATTCGTCAATGGTATCCATAGAATATAGATTGCCGATGGATTAACAAGGGATCTTGAGAAATCAATACAAAAGTTTAACTTTTACCAATGGAATAGCTACCTGTCACTAATTTGTCGCCTATATGTATGTCGGAAATCGTGGTAGTTTAGTGACAAATTAGTAACATAGCTTGGTTTGTCGCTCGTCCCTAAGCTAGCTAATGATCTGTTGCTAAACTGTAAATATTGATTTTTGGTTCACGTGGTTGTCATTTTTCCCTACTAGAAAATTGGGTATTAAAGACCAACAATTTGCAACGGACTGACCCGTCGTTAATTTGCGATAGATTTGCCACATATCAACTACTAAACCAATTTTTTAAAATTTTACTCATATTTTTTGCAGCCGATATATGATCTATCGCTAATCCGTGAAAAAATGTACATATTTGCTACGGATTAGCAATGGAGAAAAAAACACTTATTTTTTAAATAGATGTAAAAAAGAACTGAAGGTACGTAGCAAATATATTCCCTAGCTAATTCGTAGCAAATACGTTCCCTAGCTAATCTGTAGCAAATTCGTTCCTAGCTAATGCGTAGTAAATACGTTCCCTAGCTAATCCGTGACAAATACGTTCCATAACTAATTCCTAGCAAATTCATTCCCTAGCTAATCCATAGCAAACTCATCGTTTTTCGGTGGACTTTTACTTGAAAAGAGGAAAACAATAAAACATATAAACCACCTATTTGCTACGGATTTGCTATGGGCTCCCGTCCCTAAATCCGTAGAAAAATATTTCTGCGACCAGCTGATTAACTATGACTTATTTTGCGACGGATTTGACTTTTAGTCATGGATCTGCTACGGATTTGGCCGTCGATGTTGCCTCTGTTTCTTGTAGTGAATTTCCCTTGTGATCCATCATTAGATTTCGACAAATACTTGCAATGATATCTATGTTTCCAATGTAATATGTAGCTAGTTCCAGAGGAATTTTGCTGAGTACTCAAGATATGAAGACTTCTAGTGAGCAATGTCTATCGAATGTTTACGGGGTGGATATTAAAAAGACAGATGTTTACTACGGAACAAGTGTTTAGATTCATGTACATGGATGTTTGTAATCTCTTTGTAGCCGCGTTCTCTCTAAAAACATAGATTTATGCAGATATCTTTGTACACGATCCAAGTGAATCATATCACGCGAAGACTAGGAAAGCAAAGCATGAGGGTCCCAAGCCCAGATAAAGGAGGAGGGTCGACTCTAGCAAGCTATCTTTGTGTTTCTCTTATTTGTTGCTCCTGTTAATACAAAGTTAATTATACGCTTTTGTTGGAGGAATTCTAGAAATTCGTAAGTAAACAAGAGTGTATAGAAATTTGGATAAACTTGAGATTGTGTGAGAGCTTGCTTTCCTTAAGTGATATTTTGACCTTATTCTACCCGGGTATCATGATATTCGCTCGAGGGTTAATCTCAAATTCTTGTTATCGATTTTGGTAGAAATCGTTCCTATTTAAACATAGAGAATTGTAACCACTCCTATAATACCGATAATAACTCCCCATTAAATGGGATTGATTGCTAGAAAAAACATATCAGTTATAAAACTGATAATAAGGGCATGGCCCGTGCTCTTTACAAGTGGATAAACACATACATATGATAAATGCATGGTCGGTGCCATTTTCAAGATAAAAAACGCAAGACCCCTGCACAACCTTCTGTTTCCAAGCATGACCTGTGCTCTTTGACAAAAAATGCACAACCCGTGCACTACTATTTGCTACTTTGTAACTCGTCATACATAACCATCTGATGATCCCGGGTTCTAGTTAACTTACACGAGTATGCAATCGACACCTACTAACTCGTGTTATGCTTAGCTATCAACCCTATTATTATCTTGTTGAATCCAATTACCTAAAATGAACCGATGGTTTCACTAAAATCACCAACATTATTTGTATTTAATATGGATTCATATAATGGTAATTTTTAATCTTGGTACATATATATGTTCCATCATGATGTAGATCATGTGTCACTTCTCTTGATTATGACATGGTATGACCAGTTTGGGGTTCTACGAAACAGAAAAGCAAGATTCTAAAATCTGATGATATTGGGGATCGGAATCGACATTAAACTAAAGGAAAGCTTCCCTTGCTACCACTTTACACCTCAATCTAATCTAATTAAAAGAAATCCCATTTAATTTCACCACTTCTGTTTTGATCAGTTTGCTTAGCTAGGTCAACCAACTTGCATGTGACTTGTTGGGATGACATGGAAACTAAGGAAGGACATCATATCATGAAGATAAAGTTGCTTTACCTCCAAAAAGAAAAGATGAACACCAACCTTTATCAATTCAGCTCAAGAGTTTAATATTGACTGAATTTGTTCAATCTTGCTTTATTTCATGCCCTCATGTTCTAACAACCAGTGATATAATAATGAGAAGTTGGTGACTCGATCACCCGGCAAAAGAAGTTGTTAGTTTATGCTGTCCCTCTATGCCTATACGTGTGTGTGTATATATATATATATATATATATATGTGGAAAAGATCCAGAGATAACTTTGAAAAAGAAAAGAACTGAAAGAATCCCAAACTGGATAAGTTATTCCAGATCAGCGAGATATTCAAATCACAGCAATCCATCTAAGTATGGATCCCAGATTCTTGAAACTTGTTACGGGAATTCCGGTCAGATAAAAAAGGGAGACTACCATTGTCTAAATCTTATCAACCACATTACCCTCTATCTGCCACTTGTTCCAAGATCAATGCACAGAGGTTTTGCTGTCAGGATTATGGCGATTTTCATGCTACAATTATAATTCTCTCTATTAATCTCCCTATTTTTAGGCTATGCAGTGAATTTTGGACCAAAATTGAATGAAATCATGAAATACAAGTTGAGTCATGGTGCCCAAATCATTCAATTTAATTTAGGAGCCAAGGAAAAATCTTCTGCAAAAACTTCAGGATCACAAGGGAGAGAAGTAGCTGTTGCAGGCTTTGCATTGCTACTTATACGATGTACAGCCGATGCCATTGCATGCCTCTTCTTTGTGTCTACAAAAAGGGTTATGTTGATAGGTCCATCAAAACTATTCTTTCAGGACCATTAGCATTTTGAATTTGGTTTTCTTCATGGGACAGAAGGGTAGTTATTGAATCATGATGTATACGTGGCATGGTGTATTTTTGGTGACACAGACCGACAGAAAAGATCCAAAAAATCCCTTGGCCTTAACCATGAAGTAGGAATTATAAGATAAGACAGCAACCGTCCCACCACTTTACACCTCAATTTATGAAAGCAAAATAAAGGCCATTTCACTGCTTCAACTTCAGTTTTCTGATCTTGCTGATGTAATTTGCATGTGATTATGTTGGCATGTCGATTGTAATATGCTTGTTTTCCAACAACTATGCATTACCAATTAATGGAATTTTATGAAAGAAACAGTCAGCATGACACAAAAAAGTACATATATAGATCTTATCAAGAGGACCGATCTCACTGAAGGAGAAGTGGCCAGAAAAAGCTGAGATACCTCCCTTCTCAATTGTGCTCACAAGTCAAAAGGGGTGAATCAATCAGGATTTTATTTTATGTCCTCACATTCAAACCACCAAGACACAAAGATGACTCCTCCAACCAAAAGGTGTCAACTTAAGCCATCTATATAAGCTTATAAACATCATGATCCAGAACACATTACTCTGCAACTTCAGCATTTAACTTCCATGCCATCAAGGCATCTTAACCATAACAATCCGACGTCAAAATATGGATACCAGATTATCAGGCAGCGTCATGGGAACACCGATGATGTCAACAAGGAGACTACTTCTTTCTAGACCTTATGAACCCCATCATCCTCTTTCTACTTCCAAAATCGACAGCGTAGAAAGAAAAGGCAGTTTTGCAGTCCCTGTTGAAAATCATGGTAATTGTTTCACATTGATACAAGGAAAACAAACAGTTCTATTTCTCTGCATCAATCTAACTAAGTTTCATTTTTGTAATTGCAGTTAGCTTAGTACCCAAACTAATAGAAATTGTGAAACACAAGTTGAGTTATGGTGCCAAAATCCTTCCACTTGGCCGTGAAGCAAAAATCTTCACGAAATTTTTTAGTACCAGGGATAGTGAAAAGTTGTTGCATGCCTCTCGGTGCTACATATACACTACAGCGGGTGCGATTGCTGGCATCCTCTTCATGTCTACTGAAAGGGTTGGATTTTGCAGTGACAGATCCCTCCAAACGTATTCCACAACAGGGGAGCTGTTAAAGTTCCGATATAAGGTAGGGAATCTCAAAAGTATATATTTACATCCCATCATGTTTGTTTGATTGAAAGTAGTATCTTGACATAGTTGTTTTTGTAGGTGTCAATCCCATTGGGAAAGATCAAAGAAGTAGGTGAGAGCATGAACATGAAGAGACCGTCGAACAAGTATGTGGAATTAGTAACCATGGATGATTTCAGCTTCTGGTTTATGGGCTTCCCAAATTATAGGAAAACTCTAAGACACCTTCATAGGATAATCAATCCAGACATGCAGAGCAAATGATGTTCAGTTCCATGTAAATGTAAAACAGACAACTTTATTTTCACTAACGGGAGCATGTATATGTATTTGTCGATAAAAGAGAGACAATGAAACGACTCATTTCCCCTCTTGATTCAGGTTTTATTTGTTCAAACTTTCAGACTCATTTCCCATCTTTTGTTTGTGTTATTTATATATCTGTTCTAATGTGGAAGATAAAACCAGATCCTTAATATATGAACAATGACAATTTATAAAGCAATAAACTTTAAGAAAATATTTAATGATGAAGGTACAATGCTTGAAAATGTAAAACAATGGAGAAATCACGGAGTTTTAAGCTCTGGTTTGTCAATGTTGTTTGGGAGTATTAATTTGGTAATGTAATTAATATGAAAGATACAAAAATAGCCCTAATTGGCGCAATAAAAACTCGTCAAATACTGAAGGCCACCTTGACGGGCAAGCCTAAGCTTGAGTTTGCAGATAAGCTTGCCCAGTTTGTGAAAGGTTGTAACAAGTTTTGTCGCAACCTTCATGAGGTAGCCTGTTTTCGTTTGAAAGAGTTTGACTTGAGAAGGTCATGATAACCCAACCCACCTCAGGTTCGGGGCAGGAACAATGAAGAGATTTGGTACGTAGGCGAACACTTGAGTAACAAATGAAAATTATAGAGGTGGTTTTCTTTTGACACCAAGGGAGTGTATATTGCATCATGATGTACATAACCTTTCATTTCTTTTGACCATGACATGCCATGGCATATTTGGGATTCAAACAGTGACAACTTAGTTGCCTAAGAAGGGATTTAAAGTGTGACATTTTAACAACTTAAATGGTACAACATGTGGATATAGTTGTAAGGTATGTGTTGTTTTGTAATAGTTTGTTGGCAAAATCATCATCTGATGCTAGAAGAAGGGCTTGACAAGGTTTCCAACCCAAAAAGCAACCCCATCCATTCATCAAAAGCAATAGCATTAATTAATGGGCAAATTAAAGAAACTAAGTACTTGGATCAAAACCTCTATCTTCCACAAAACGATCAGCAAAGGAATCCATTCCATAGCAGACACCTGAATATATAATAATATATATGGACTAGCAAAACCTCCATTTTGCATATATTTACCTTCCTATCCAAAAAGAGGGAAACTAAGTATTTAGGCCGTTTACTAAATGCTTACTTGGCAAGTGCTTACCAAATAAATTTCCTTATCGGATGAACATGACAAAGGTCAAGAATCTTACCGGGTAAGAACAATGAGAAAGATGGAGACTTATCCAGTAAGTAAGTAAAGATTACGACTCTTACCCAGGTAAGCGCTTACCCAGTAAACAATTGGGTTACAGCCCCTTAGCTTCAACTAAGCAAGCGCTTACCCAGTAAACATTTGGGTTACAGCCCCTTAGCTTCAACTAAGCAAGAGGGAGCAACAAATTAAGATACATATTCTACGACAACAAATTAAGCAACAATATATATATATATATATATATATATATATATATATCTATCGATGATGCAATATATATATATATATATATATATACAACCTTTCATATATAGCATAACAAAGCATATTGTTATTCGTTTTAATTTCCTTTCGTGATTTGATTGCAAAGGAAAAAGTTACATTGAATTGAAGTATTTGAGCACACATGAGCAGTGGGCCAATAAAGTTACCGAGTCTGGAAAAATTCTGTTACTTTGGAGCTTTGCTTGGAGTTTGCAACTTTGAATGAAGAGGGAGTGCTGAGGATTGATCCAAAGTAGTGGACTTGGTCATATGTATATATGTTTAAATTAGTCTATTGTTTGTATTTTATGAGTCTCTATCTTAGTGTGATTAATGGGCCGTTTACCTAAACACTTACCCGCTAAGCGTTTAACGGTAAAATTCAACATTATTGTTTACTTATCGGGTAAGATTTAGTCCACCAGAATGACTTTGTATGTAACAATTTACCCGGTAAGTGCTAACCATGGTAAAAGTCGTTGTCATCACTTACCGGGTAAGATTCTCGGTCCTTGCCTTCACTCTTACACTGGGTAAGATTATTGGTCCTTGTCATATTCATCCGCTAAGGTAATGTGACTTGGTAAACTTAACGCTTACCCAGGTAAGTATTTGGTAAACGGCCCCTAAAGTTTGTGTTAGTGGTCATTAATTTATATTTTGGAATGTAATCTAAGTAGGCAAATTAAAGGTCATTGATTTTCATTATTGTTTGGAGTTATGGCTAGGAGTAGTATATATATACATATATATATATGTATATATATATATATATATATGGTCATGATGTAATAAGTTTCACATATGAGAAAATAGTCTATAATTGGTTGACATTCTCTTTGTTCCTCTCCCAACAAGAACAACTCATTGAAGCGGAAGTAGTCATCATTGCGTGTAGATCGAAGTCTTTTAAAGCTTTATACGGTTTGCTTCAGAATATGGCTGAACTGAATGCAGATATGCCATGGAAACTAAAGAACCATTCCATAACGAATCCTAGTTTGTCAATAGATTTAATTTTAGAGTAATAGAATATACACTTATATTAATGTTAATCAACTAATTAACTTAATGAATTATCCTACTCATATTAGGAGATATATATGTATCCAAATATGTAACCGGATAGTAACTGATATAAAATGCTCTTGATAAATATAAATGTTTAATCAATTGTCATTTAATATTTATTATAGATAATGATCATAAAGTTCAATTTGTTTCCAACAAAAGAGGATATATATTGTCGAAAGTCTCCTTTTTATATATGCATACCACGTGCAACAGAGAAGAGAAGATCCCAAAGAGCCATGACATATATATATATATATATATATATATATATATATATGAACTAAAATATACAAAAGCACTGTCTCACTACTTTACACCTCAATCTGATTAAGCAACATTTATATAAAGGCCATTCACCACTTGCATATTAGTTTTCTTAGCTTGGTCTTGTGTTTGAAAATCATGAGTTTCATAAATAAACACCAAAAACCATAAGCAAGAACAAAACTTTTGTCATATGACAATATATATATATATATATATATATATATATCCTAAGTAATCCGTTAGACAACATACATGTGTCTGATTCGATTTCAAAAACATGAAGTTATTTAATACTGAACAATCCCAACAATTTCAGCAAGCTGAATTGGTCTTTACTAACTTGAATGTGACTTGATGGTATTCGTCCATGCATAATCTCCATTTACCATTTTGTCGATATTAACCCATCACTAAACTTTGTGCCTTACCAAACAATGTATAACTTTGATCGAAATTAAACTGTCATGATGACAAGTAAAGGTGTGTTATCCATATACAGTCAAAAACAACGACATCATGAAGGAAAATCATGCCCCAGAAAAGATTCAACTACCAACCACCGGAAACCATAAGATGTGGATGACTCATCCAACTAAAAGCTGTCAGTTTATGCCATTCTTATATGCTTATATGTTATCATCCAAAAAAGCAAATGAAAAGCCATTTCACCACTTCAAATTTCAGTTTTCTGATCTTGCTGAGGTAATTTGCATGTGATTTGTTGGCATGTCGATTGTAACGTGCTTTTTTTTCAACCACCGTGCTTCACCGACTAATGGAAATCTATGTCAGAAACAGTCAGCATGACACTAAAATGTAGATGTATAAACCTTATCAAGAGGACCGATATCAATAAAAGGAAAAGTAGCCAGAAAAAGCTAAGGTACCCACCTTGTCAAATTGTGCTCACGTCAAAAGGGATAAATATATTCTATGGATATTATCAGGACTTTATTTTATGCCCTCACATTCAAACCACCAGCAGCGATGACATATATATGACTCATCCAACTAAAGGTGTACTTAAGCCATCTTTATAAGCTTATAAATATCATGATCCTTAACACATTTCCCAGCAAGTAACTTCAGCATTTAGCTAGCTTCCATACCCATTAAGGCAATCAAATCATTGCAATCCGACGTCAAAATATGGATACCAGATTAGCAGGCAGTGTTATGGGAATTCCGATGACATCAACAAGGGGACTACTTCTTTCTAAACCTTATGAACCCAATTATCCTCTTTCTACTTCCAAAATCAATGGCATAGAAAGAAAAGGCAGTTTTGCAGTCTCGATTAAAAATCATGGTAATTGCCTACACTGGTACAATAACAACAAATGGTTCTACTTGTCTCCCTCAATCTAACAGGGTTTTCATTTTTGTATTGCAGTGAGCTTAGTACCCAAAATAATGGAAATTGTGATACAAAAGTTGAGTTACGGTGCCAAAATCCTACCACTTGGCCGTGAAGCAAAAATCTTCAGGAAAAGTTTCGGTACCAGGGATAGTGAGAAGTTGTTGCATGCCACTCGATGTTACATATATACTACAGCCGGTGCGATTGCAGGCATCCTCTTCATGACTACTGAAAGGGTTGGATTTTGCAGTGACAGATCCCTGAAAACTTATTCTACAACAGGGGAGCTGTTAAAGTTCCAATATAAGGTAAAAAGGGTCCGAAGTTTATATTTACATCCCGTGCACCTCTGTTTTGATTTTAGAGTAGTATCTTGACATAACTGTCTTTGTAGGTGTCAATTCCATTAGAAAAGATAAAAGGAGTTGGTGAGAGCATGAACACGAAGAGGCCATCGAACAAGTATGTGGAATTAGTAACCATGGATGATTTCAGCTTCTGGTTTATGGGCTTTCCAAATTACAAGAGAACTCTAAGTCACCTTCATAGGACAATCAATCCAGAATGCTTAAGAAATTGATGTTGAACATTAGTACCTCAATTCCATGTAAATTTCAAATAGACTAGATTATGTCGTATGGTTAAAGCATTCACTAATGGGAACATGTATATATTTGTTGAAAGAGGATCAAGAGACAATGAGAATGACTCATTCTGGTTTTATATGTTCAAACTTCAAGACTCATTTCCTATCTTTGCTCGTGTGTTATTAATTGGAGACTTCAAATATCGTACCATCAGAGCGTATAACATATGGCAGTGGATCATAATTATATGTTTTTGTAGTCCCAGTACATCATTTGTGTTGTAAAGATGAAGATGTACACCATAAATACACACACTTTATTTCATATATATTAGAAATCGACACTTAGTACAATATGGAATACAGCTATATATAGAGAACGAACCAACACAACCTTTCAAGACACCCTTTCAAGGTTGGCGGTTAATACTAGAAACTACCAACAGAAACCCATACTAATTATCACACTAACTACCTATATACACAGTCTAGCTTATATTCCAATATTCCCCCATAAGCTAGACATCAGCAACACCCAGTTCCTTCTTTAATTTGCAGAAACTTCCACTGTTTAGGGCCTTCGTACAGATGTCAGCAACTTGGTCCTTTGATCCACAGAAAACAACTTCAACTTCCAAGTTTTGAACAAGCTCTCTGATGAAGTGAAACTTGATGTGAATATGCTTACTTTTACCGTGAAAAACTGGATTTTTCATTAAGGCTATGGCAGATTTGTTATCACAGAAACCTTTAGTTGGGGTACCTAGAGGAACATTCAATTCGTCTAAGATACCTCTAAGCCATAGAGCATGACATCCAGCCGAAGAGAGAGCCATATATTCTGCCTCAGTCGAGGACAAGGCAACCACTTTCTGTTTTCTTGATTGCCGCCTGATCCCAGACTAAAAATGTAGCCCCTAGTACTTATGTTGTCAACCAAGTTTCCACCATAATCGCTATCACAAAAACCTTTCAAACTTGGGTCCTGAACTTGAGAGTACACAATCCCATGATTTAAGGTTCTCTTAACATAGCTTAGTATCCGTTTAACAGCATTCTAAAGACTCCTTGTAGGGGTTCCCATAAAACGACTCACCAGACTTATAAAAAACATGATATAGGGTCTTGTTGCCGTAAGATACATAAGGCAACCAATTAGACTACGAAATAATGTAGAGTCAACACTTTCCTCTACAATATCCTTAGCCAGTTTTAGACCAACTTCCATGGGAGTTGAGGCAGGGAGAGAATCACTCAGATTGAATCTAACAAGGAGATCTGTAGCGTACCTTTTCTGAGATATGGTGGTCTTACCATCTGCTTGCTTTGCTTCTATGCCCAAGAAGAAATGAAGATGGCCTAGATCTGACATTTCAAACTCTACTTTCATTGACTCCTTGAACTCATTAACCATTTGTTGTGAATTTACTTGCAAACACCAAATCATCAACTTATAGACAAACCACCGATCAGTAGCATATTTCCAGATTTCTTAATGAAGGGAGTATGCTCATAGTTGCAACTATCAGTAGCATGTTTCTACCATTTTCACAACATTGGGTTTCACAAAAATTCACTTTGGTATAATCCAATTTTCTACTTTAGTTTCTAGCTAAAAACGAGAGTTACAACATGCAAAGATATTATTATGTTTAGTATGTTCCATATTAAGATTAAATCTTCTAAATTTAGAATAACTGAAAATTGTTTTGGTACCAAATGACTACCAATGGATAAGAATGAAAAATGTTGTCGTGGTTCAGATAAGTATCAGCACTAGTGACTCACTGATAAGTATTAGTACTCGTCAGTTTAACTGAAGACACTCACATATCGATGATTGGCACCGAAGGCACATGTTGAAGAGTGCCACTAAAGGTACATACTGGTCACGCCGATGAGTGCCACAAGGCACTCACTAAATCAGCATGTAAATCTTCTAAAACCTTGCTCTATATTCATAGACGAACTAAGTACCAACAGCTTCGATTTCTACACCATTATTGTTGTAATCTTCACCGTTTTAACATCATGACCGATTATAGATCAGTTCTCGACATTCTCCGTCCGTGGTTTTTCCTTTTCAGTTTTTCCATGTAAAAATCTTGAGACTCTCTTCCATGCGTTAGATTCATTAACTCAGTTATGTGTTGATTATTTGATGTTAGTTTTCCCTTACAATATGATATATTCCGCTTCAATCTCGATTTCTTAATATTAACCATTGTACTGTTGGTTTATTTTCGGGGATATTGTGATTAAATTTTACCTAGATTTAACTATATATGTGTTCACTGGATTGTATCTTTATCCACCACAAAGTATACATCTTGGTCTTTCGTCTTACATGCCATTTCTATATTAAATTGTAAATTTGTGATTGTTATTGTTTGTGGATGGATTTTTGGTGACAGATCATCAAAAATATCGAATATATATTGCTAGACTCGCGTTTTCGCATTGGCTCTTGTTCACATTAGGATTGCGGTTGTATGTTTCAGACCTTTGGGATCATTTATTGGCTGTATATTGGTGGACATTTCATGGCATGGCATTCGTGTTGTATTTTGGGGGTCCTACAAACTGAGAAGAAAACAACCAAAAAATCTCATGTCCTTAACCATGAAGTAAAAACGACAAGATAGGCTACATTCGCACCACTTTACACCTCAAGCTGATTAACCAAATATTTAAAGGCATCCATCTCACCACTTAGAATTCAGTGCTCATCTTGCACATGTATTTTGCCATGAAATGCTGCCATGTCGATTACAAATTTATAATATACCTTTTTCCCAATTTCTGTGCATTAAATTATCAACTAAATGGATATCTTATATCTACAGAAATAATAGTCAGCATGCATGACAATGAAAAGTATATGCATAAACCTTATTAGAAGGACCGATATGATCAATAAAGGAAAAAGCATGCAGAAGAAGAGGAAGCACCAACCATCTCAACTGTGCCCACAAGTCAAAATTGGCGAATCTATTTGACCGGGCTCTATTTTATCCCCTCACATTCAAACCGCCATTGTTGATGACACATGGATAACTCATCCTAGTAAAGTTGTCAACTTACGCCATCTTTATAGGCTTAGTAATGTCATGATCCAGAACACATTACCAAACAGCATCAAGCTTCCATACCTCCACGGCAAATCACAGCAATATTCTAGCCTCAAAGTACGGTTACCAGACTATGGAACAATGAAGGAAACTCTGCAGGAAACACTTCAGTACCCAGAATGGTGAGAAGTTGTTGCATGCTCCCAATGCTACTTATACACTACAGCTGGTGCAATATCAGGCCGCCTCTTTGTGTCTACAGAAAGGGTTGCATTTTGCAGTGATAGGTCCTTTTAAAACGTATTCCACGACAGGCAAGCTGCTAAAGTTCCAATATAAGGTAAGGGAACCTCCGACGAAGTCTCAAATGGTGCTAATGTCATCGGTTCTTTTAGCATTGGCTTGACATATATATCATTATGGCAGATGTCAATCCCATTAATTAGGAAGGATACAAGGAAAACGATAATGCATGAACATGAAGAGGCCATTAATTGAACAACTATGTGCAGCTAGTGACGGTCGATGATTTTTCAACTTCTGGTTCATGGGATCTATAAATTATAAGAAAACGTTAAGATATCTCCATCATGCAATTGGTCTTGACTGCTTGAGCAATTGATGTTGGAAATTAGTCCTTAGTTTCATGTAAATTTCAAATGTATAAGTCTTGTAGCTATTTCCTCATTTTGGTATTACAACTACTTTCTCCAATGAGAAAAGGATGTACGTTTATACGTTATATATGATTACAATGTCTCATTATCCATGACATTCTTGGCTCACTTAATAGAGTACATGTGCTCCCATCCATTTAAGTGATCCAACAAATTGGAAAAGTTGATCAAGTCATGAGTTGTAACTGAAGTTATGCTATAAGATGTACATTGGATGGGGGACGCACCCAAAATCTATCTATACGATGAGAGAAATCAATAAGGTTCGTCCTGATGTTAACTGTCATCTCTGATTCAACATGGTAGACGAAATATCTGTTTTGGTCACCTGTTGCAACAGCTTGTAATCATGCTTGTTACAGTATAATACAACTTACTGAAATCACAAAATTCAACCAATAGAAAACAAATGGAAAGTGGACATATGACATAAATACATAAGAGGGAGGAGCAAATAACAATGTTAACTATTTAAGAGAATATAAAAATGGTCAAATCACGTGTAAAATCACATGTGATTTTACATTAAAGGCCAAAAAAGTGTGTGGACGACCCTATGGCAGCATCTTTAGGTTGCGAGTCAAGGTCACGAGAATCACAAGTGATTTTGTACGTGATGTTAGTGTAAAATCTCGTGTGATTCGACCGTTCTCGTATTCTCTTAAATATGTACCTTTTTCATTGAACCGACTCTGGTAAATAATGCACTTATATTTGCAAACCATGCACCCAGTTTATCCACTTTAAGATCTTGCTGATGTAAGTTGCATGTGATTTGTTGGTATGTCGACTGTAATATGTTTCTTTCTAACAACTGTGCCTTACTAATTAATGGAAATCTATGAAAGGAACAGTCAGCATGACACTAAAAAGTAAATATATAAACCTTATCATGAGAACAAATATCAATAAAGGGAAAAGTAGCCATAAGACTAAGATACCTACCTTCTCAATTGTGCCGACAAGTCAAAAGGGGTGATTCTATTCGATCAGTCTAATATTTTATGCCCCTACATTTCAAACTACCAGCAACGATGACACATAGATGACTCATCCAACTATAGGTGTTAGCCAAAACCACCTTTATAAGCTTATATAAATCATGATCTAGAACACATCACCCAACAACTTCAGCATTAGCTTGAATTCCCTACCATCAAGGCAACGAAATCACCAGCAATTCAACATCAAAATATGGATACCAGATTATCAGGCAGTGTCATGGGTATTCCGATCGTATCAACCAGGGGACTACTTCTGTCTAAACCTTATGAACCCATTTATCCTTTTTCTACTTCCAAAATCAACGGTATAGAAAGAAGAGGAAGTTTTGCAGTTCCGATTAAAAATCATGGTAAATATTTACTTACACTGATAGAATTACAGCAAACGATTTCTATTTCCCTGGCTCAATCTAACAAAGTTTTCATTTTTGAAATTGCAGCGAGCTTAGTACCTAAACTAATAGAAATTGTGAAACAAAAGTTAAATTTTGGTGCTAGAATCCTACCACTTGGTCGTGAAGCAAAAATCTTCAGGAAAAGTTTCAGTACCAGGGATGGTGAGAAGTTGTTGCACGCCTCCCACTGCTACATATACACAACAGCGGGTGCGATTGCAGGCATCCTCTTCATGTCTACTGAAAGGGTTGGATTTTGCAGTGATAGATCCCTTCAGACGTATTCTACAGCTGGGGAGCTGTTAAAGTTCCAATATAAGGTAGGGAGCTTTACCAAAGTATATTTACATCCCGTACAAGTAGTTTTCTTTTTAAAATAGTATGTTGACATAATTGTTGTTGTAGGTGTCAATTCCGTTGGGAAAGATAAAGGGAGTCGGTGAGAGCATGAACATGAAGAGACCATTGAACAAGTATGTGGAATTAGTAACCATGGATGATTTCAGGTTCTGGTTTCTGGGCTTTCCAAATTACAGGAAAACTCTAAGACACCTTCATAGGACAATTAGCCCAGACTGCTTAAGCAACTGATGAAGAACATTAGCCCTCAATTCCGTGTAAATTTCAAATAGACAACATTTTGTTGTACCATTACGTTCACCAATGGGAACATGTATATTTGTTGATAGAGGAGAGACAATGAGAATGACTCATTTCCTATCTTAATTAATTCGGGTTTTTTAATAGTTCAAACTTCAAGGACTCATTTCCTATATTTTGCTTGCGTATTATTAATTGAAACTTCAGTTCATTCCATGCCATCGCTCATCAGCTCATATAACTTATGCTGATGGCTACTGTGAAATCGATGATGAGAAACTACGGTAATATACAGGTAAAACTGAACAATTACAGAAACATAGTACATATCTACAATCATAGACATGTTTTTTTAACGTGTTACAACAATATGTATGATCGCTCGGAATAAATCTAGATAGCCATCGCTCTATCAGTACTCGTTTCTTGGTCAATAGTACTTCATCCTGATTTTAGAGTAGAACTCTTCATTCAGGATCATTAGAAATTTTGAGTCATCATGTATTTTAAGATGCTGCACAATTAATCCCCGAGGCCTGTGACCAATGCCTACTTCAGTGCCACCAGGTTTGGCGAGCAAAACAGCTGGCATGGACTAGTTTACGGAAAGTGGGTGACCTAGGGCTCGCGACGCCATGTTACGCAGTTTGGTTGATTGGCTCAGTCGCAGTGGATCATAATTAGCTTCTAACTACCGGTACATCATTTGCAATTTCTATCAGTTTAGGTCCCATTTAAAACTCTTTTCGTTCTTTGCCATCCATTTTGGAATGAGTAGAAATAGGGTAATATAGTGTCTAGACAAAAATAGACGTCGCCTTGTTGATATGATGGGAATGATACCCACGACATTTGAAGTCGGACTGCCAACTGATTTATATTGATTTATATAGAGTGTTACTCTGAATAGTTAACATTGTGGTCTCAAATGATGTAAATCTATAGGTATATGATATGATGGTTTTTATGATGGAATGGGTTGAGGATGTTATGTAAAGTTAATATGGTAGATACTATTCATTTAAAAATATTATTGATTGATTTTGCGTCTAGGAGTACTCTATTAAAACTGTTTTATATGAATTATTAGTATTTTTAAAATTCAATGTCATTTCTAATGATAAAAATAATAGTATTAAAGATTTTTTTTCATACTTATCAAGGGCCCCTTTTTTACATCTCGCTGAGAGCTATAAAATGTTAGAAGCGAGCCTGTAGACAGCTATGGAAGCTCGATGCTGAACTTATCACAAGCGACCTAGGTCGTAGGTAAAGTCTCCCATACACCCTTGCATTGACCGTGTTCCATAAAAGCATGTAATTTCAGGGTAAATTCATGTCATTTGGCTCATATTCTCTTCTTTTGACTCTGTGTTTGGTTGAACCTATCTCTCTCTATACATATATATATATACACACACATATATGTGTATATATACCACAAAACAAATGACTTTTACCTACAAAAATCACCCAGGAAAAATTTTCGTCAACTATCACCCAAAAAATACTAATGCTTCCAGTAGATTCCGATGTTTTTCATACCAACGGATCAACCAGAAAATACCTGGGGTAATGCTCACTGTTTTGAATTGCCCATCAACAATTTAACCATTATCTTTTGTGACAGTTTTGTAACTAATCACCCCTTTAGCGACGGATTTCTCAGGGAAACATTCGTAGGTAAAAGTCTTCCATTTAGTAGTGATATAACCAACATTGGGGTGCAAAGTTTGAGAGGCTCCTAATCAGTTTTAGGGATTGTTTGTTTACCTCTTAATAGTTCCATTAAGAGATAACCTCTGACGTTAGGAGGTGAATCTTGTTTGGCAAAAAAAAAAGTGAGCCTCTTAATGATTCTAAAATCCTATGAATGATTTTGTATCTTGGATCTCCTTTAACCATTAAGAGCCCTAATTCATTTTACATAATTACCAAACAATTATATTTCATTTTACATTATATCATGAGAGCCTCTTAATCATTATGACCACTTAATCATTCTGCACCAAACCATTCAACAATTACACAGTATTTCTTTCATCTGGTATTCAAATTCTTGTTCAAAGCCTTCAACTTTCTTTGATTTTACGGCAATACAACCGAAGAGAATGTTGATTCAAGCTTCAAGGAAGAACAATTCAGGCACGTGGCAGGGCTAAGCAAATCCCAAGATCATCCTGAAGTGAAACCTATGGTGTGATTCATTTTAGCTTATTTTCTTGGATTTGTTTGATTTGAAAGCGTAAAACAATGATTATTTATACATGAATGAGCAATATGTAACAGATATTGTTGGTAAAATCTATGAAATCATTATATTTGTTTGAATGTTTATTTGTATTGATTTGGCTGGAAATACGAAAACAGTCCATGGTATCCCCAGACTGTGTTGAACACAGGAGATTAGGTGAGAGGAAGGTTGGTTCGAATAGGCATGGATTATTCCGAGTGTCAGATAGATTTCATGTTTGTATTCGTTTAATCAATGCACGTTGAATTGGACAAATTGCTAAAATCAGTTGGAGCAAATGACTGTGAATGCATTCATACATGTATGATTGTAGATGTGTATAGCTTGTCTAAAGTTTCACCAAAATACCCATCAACATATGTTATATGCGCTGATGGAATGAATTGAAGTTTCAATTAATAGCAGACACGCAAAAACGATGGAAATGCGTCTGAAGTTTGTACGAATAAAACCTAAATTAAGATAGGAAATGAGTCTTTGTATTCTCATTGTCTCTCCTTATCAACAAATATGTATATTTATACACACACACACATATATACATGTTCCCATTAATGAACATAACCTCACTACATAATCTTGTCTATTTGTAATTTACAGGACTGTTGTTCAACTTAAATTGCTCAAAATTAGTCTGCAGTGATTATCTTATGAAGGTGTCTTAGAATTCTCTGGTAATTCAGAAAGCCCATAAACCAGAAGCTCATGAACTCTTCCATGGTTACTAATTCCACATTGTTGTTTGGCAGCCTCTTCGGGTTCATGCTCTCAGCTACTCCTTTTATCTTTTCTAATGGAATTGACACCTACAAAAACTGTTATGTCAGGGTACTACTCAAATCAAATCAAAACATATAAATATTTCTAATGGATTTGACAACTACAACTTCTCACTATCCCTGGTAGTGAAACTTGTCCTAAAGATCTTTGCTTCATTCCTGAATGTCCGGCTGACCCGTCAGATTTTTGGAATTTATGAAGAGTCAAACTTAGTGAAAACTTCACTAAGTATAAGTCTAGATAGTGGATTCAGTAATCTGAAATGTGGATCAGACTTAGGAAAATTGGTTTGCGTAAATTGACTAAGTCCTAAGTTTGAACGGATGGAGTCAGAAATCTGAACCTTCATTTTAGACTTGTGATTTTCCGGGCTTATGAAAATTCTCTAAGGGGCCGTTTACCAGACGCTTGCCTGGGTAAGCGCTTACCAAGTAACATTACCTCACCGGATGAATATGGTAAGGACCAAAAATCTTAGCCGGTAAGAGCGAGACAAGGACTAAGAGTCTTACCCGGTAAGTAAGAGCAACGAATCTTACCACGGTAGGCGCTTACCAGGTAAGTTTGTTGCATACGATGTCGTTTTGGTGGATTAAAATCTTACCCGGTAAGTAAATAATAGTGTTAAGTTTTACGGGTAAGTGTTTGGAAAACGACCCTTAAGTCTCAGACTCTGAACAATAGGATCAGATTAGTGCATCCCGACTTAGATTCAGATTCCGTTCCTAGGAACTCTGATAACTTGTAACTGTTTTTCAATCTTGTCCATTAACGGTTATAACTGTTTAATCGTCCGTAACAACCTATCTCTCATATAAATATAGAAAAACGTAATCTGATGAATATATTTTATATATATATATATATATAGAGAGAGAGAGAGAGAGAGAGAGAGAAAGGTTCAGAGGAAAACCCAAAAAAAATGAAAAATTGAGGAACACATTGGTAACCATTCATCTGGATCGTTGTTATATACTTGTGCATACAAGTAATTGAAGTTGTTTCTTGGGTTTTATGCATGTGTACATGTTATGCACATGTGCATACGGACAAATTTCTTCTAAATTACTTGTATGCATATATGCATACCGTCCAGATGAACAGTTATCATGGCGTCTCAGTTTTTTACTTTTTTAACGTTTTCCCTGAATTAGACCTTACATATATATATATATATATATATATATATGTATGGATGTATGTATGTATGTATGTATGTATACACATACGAAATCAGTGCCTATTCGTGTATGAAATCTCTAGATTATTACAATATTGATTTCATGATAACCTAAGGCATTAGAGGGGCGAAATACAGTATTTGGAAAGTGAATTCCAATACACGATCTAGAAATCTATCTAAGAATATACAAACACAAACCCAGATACCCAACAGTCTGCTCCATTGGGTTTTCAGCTATGTAAATTCATATACAATTTGGTGTCATGGAATGCCATTTTGTCCAAGCTCATGTTATAACACGTGAAGTAGGGATTGAATGCATTGGTATATGTATGATTGTAGATACGCATGTCCTGCTTAAAGTGTCGTTAATGTATTACCTTAACTTCTTATTTCCTCTATATTTCACAATACCCATCAGCGCCCGAATGGAAAGAATTGAAGTTTCAACTTATAACTCACAAACAAAAGACTAGAAACGAGACTTGAAGTTTGAAAGAATAAAATCCTTAAGATGGAAATGAGTCATTATCAATTTCTCTCCAATATCAGCAAAAATATATACATGTTCTGATTGGTGGATGTATCCGTACTACATAATGTTGTCTATTAGAAATTTACATGGAGTTGAGGACTGATGTTCTACATCAGTTGCTTAAGCAGTCTGGACTGATTGTCCTATGAAGGTGTCCTAGAGTTTTTCTGTAATTCGGAAAGCCCATAAACCAGAAACTGAAATCGTCCATGGTTACCAACTCCACATACTTGTTCTTCATGCTCATGCTCTCGCCTACTCCTTTTATCTTTTCCAACGGGATTGACACCTACAAGAAACAATTATGTCAATATACTATATAATCTAAAACCAAAACAAATATGCATGGGATGTAAATATATATTTGGAGTCTCCCTACCTTATATTGGAACTTTAAGGTCTCTCCAGTTGTCGAATACGTTTGGAGGGATCTATCACTGGAAAATCCAACCCTTTCGCTAGACATGAATAGGATGCCTGCAATCGCACCTGCTGTTGTGTATATGTAGCAACGGGAGGCATGCAACAACTTCTCACCATCCTTGGTACTGAAACTTTTCCTGAAGATTTTTGCTTCACGGCCAAGTGGTAGGATTTTGGCACCATAATTCAACTTCTGTTTCACAAGTTCCATTAGTTTGGGCACTAAGCTCGCTGCAATTTCAAAAAATGAAAACTTCATTAGATTGAGCGACAGAAATAGAAATGTTAATGGTAAATACTAGTACTGTGCAACAATATTTACCATGATCTTTAATCGCGACTGCGAAACTGCCTTTTCTTTCTAGGCCGTTGATTTTGGAATTAGAAAGAGGATAATGGGGTTCATAAGGTTTAGAAAGAAGTAGCCCTCTTGTTGATGTCATTGGAATGCCCATGCCACTGCCTGATAATCTGCTATCCATATTTCGACGTCGGGGTGCTGGGATTTGGTTTTCTTGATCGTATGGAAGGTAAATGTGGAAGTTGTAGAGTAATGTGTTCTGGATCATGATACTTATAAGCTTATATTTTAGTTGGATGAGTCATCTATCTGTCATGATCTTTGCTTGTGGTCTGAATGTGAGGGCATAAAGTAAATCCTGATTGAATCGACTCGTCCCTTTTTGACTTGAGAAGGCGGGAACCTCAGCTTTTTGTGGCTAGCTACTTTCCCTTTTATTTATACGGGTCCTCTTGATAAGGTTTATATATTTAGTTTTTTAGTGTTATGCTGACTGTTTGTTGTAGATTTCCATGAAATTGTAACGTACAGTTGTTGGAAAAAAGCATATTAAAATCGACATGCATGCCAAGAAATCACATGTGAATAGCATCAGCATGCAAGATCAGAAAACTGAAATTGATATGGTGAATGCCTTTTTCTAATTACTTTTCTAAATTGAGGTGTAAAGTGGTTAAGAATAAGAGATTTTTTGGATATTTTTTCTTCTCTGTTTATAGCACCAAAAATGCACCATGTCTTAAGTCATTGATTCAGAATGATACAATATATATACACGTATATATATATATATATATACCCTTTCTTTCCCATGAAGAAAACCAAAATCAAAATGCTAATGGTCCTTAAAGAAGATTAGTTGTGTTTCAAAATTTGGAATGTAGAAGTGTAACACCCTCAAATCTAGAAGAAGAAAAAAACGACTAATTTAAATTTTCGATGGAATAAATTTCTTTTTAAATGTCAACACTTGATTACCTAAAATAGCAATCTACGATTTAACATTAACAAAGAGGTAGTTCAAACCTTACACAAAGTCTAGATTCAAGACGGTTGTAACTATAAGCCATTACATTTCGTTATCTGTAATGTATGAAAGAAGTCCTCAAATGGCTAATTCTTTCTCGTGCCTCTAACTATTACTCAACTCATTATTATAGTGCAGCTAATATCGTTTCCTAACGAGAACATGATGCACATGTCGACAAATAAAAAGAGTTAGGCTTAATGCCTAATATAATGAGTTCAAGGAGTTTACATCTTTAATAGAAAACAGTTGAAAGACTGATGTTAAATCACAATTTCCCTTCACATGTTTCAAAAACCACCATTTTTGTGATGAGAACTTATTAATTAAAACACACATTTAGATAGGAACCAAAACCCAATACTCACTCAAAACGTCAGTGGATCATAATATTCAAATACTAAAAACATGGGTAAAACTCTACTATTGAAAACACCAAAACTGGATAAGGTATGATATACCAAAACCATAAATTATGGATACACTACGTACATACCCAAAAACAACACCGAACACATAGATAATACACTATCCAAAAAACAACACCTTTCCATGACGGGACAGACCCGTATCCGAGTAGCGATACAAAGTAAGTCGTATATCAATATTATCAAGTAGCACCTCAAGATTAAATTGAGCCTACTCATTCGAGTTTCACCTCAAGGCTCATGTCGTTAGTGCCTACCCCATAGGATAGCACCTCAAGCTTCATGGTTCTTAGTGCCTAACACTCTGCCACTCCGGTAGTACCTGAAGACAATAATTTCACTTCAACACTCATGGCCTTAGTGCCTACCTCTCTAGATATGGATTATTCCCTTGGATAGATTTCATGTTTGTATTCATTTAATCAATGCACGTTGAATTAGAAAAATTGCTAAATCAATTGGAACAGATGAAAAAGGTAAAAGTAAAAAAGGGAATGCATTTGACGAAGATCCCATTGTATTCCGGAAGCTCGTAGCATTGGTCCGACAAACCCCAATTTGTTGTTACATGTGTATGATTGTAGATATGTATGTCTTGTCTAAAGTTTCACCACTACCCATGTGTGTGTGTGTATATATATATATACACATTTTCCCCATTAAAAAAAATGCAATCTTACTAGTTACTACATAATCTTTTCTACTTGAAATTTACATGGAATTGTGGATTCAACTTATATTGCTTAAGCAATCTGGACTGATTGTCCCATGAAGGTGTCTTAGAGTTCTCTTGTAATTCGGAATGCCCATAAACCAGAAGCTGAAATCAGCCCGGTGTCTTACAATACGTTTGGAGGGATCTCTCATTGCAAAATCCAAGTCTTTCTGTAGTCATGAAAAGGATGCCTGCAATTGCACCAGCTGCGGTGTATATGTGGCATCGCGTGCAACAACTTCTCACTATCCCTGGTACTGAAACTTTTCCTGAAGATCTTTGCTTCATGGCCAAGTGGTAGGATTTTGGCACCACAACTCAACTTTTGTTTCATTATTTCCATATTTTGGGTACTAGGCTCACTGCAATTACAAAAATGAATGCTGTTAGATTGAGAGGGAATTGAAGTAGAACCATTTTATCGTCTTTGTATCATTGTGGGACAATATAATTACCATGATTTTTAAAGTAGAAAGAGGATAATGTGGTCTATAAGGTTTAGAAAGTAGTAGTCCCCTTGTTGATATGAACGGAATGCCCATGACACTGCCTGATAATTAATCTGTTATCATATTTTGACGTCGGTTTGCTAGGAATTGGTTTTCTTGATGGTATATGGAAGCTAAATGCTGAAGTTGTTGGTGATCTGTTCTGGATCATGATATCTATAAGCTTATAAAGATGGCTTAAGTTAAACCTTCTTGGTGGATGAGTCATCTATTAAATCTTCATCGTTGCTGGTGGTTTGAATGTGAGGATATAAAACAAAACCCTGATTTGAATAGATTGACCTCTTTTGACTTGTGTGCACCGTTGAGAAGGTATGTACCTAGGCTAAGCTTTTTGTGGCTACTTTTCCTGTTATTGATATGGGTCCTCTTGATAAGGTTTATATATGTACTTTTTTAGTGTTATGCTGACTGTTTCTTGTAGATTTCCATTAAATATATGGTAATATATACTTGTTGGAAGAAAAAAAGCATATTGCAATCCATAGACACACCAACAGATCACATGCAGATTACATCAGTAAGATAAGGAAAAACTGAAATGGAATTGGTGAGACAGTCTTGATTTTGCCTTTTGAATGATGAAATTCATAGGCATATATAAATTGACTACTTTTAGTTGGACGAGTCATTCTTGTCTTATACTTGCTGGTGGTTGGTAGTTGAATCTTTTCTGAGGCACCACTTTGCCTTCATCATGTCGTTGCTTTTGACTGTATCTACTTACCTTTCTTGTCCTGCTGACGCTTTCTTTCAAAGTAATGGAACAAATGTATATAAGTGAATTTACTGGATTACATAGATGTATCGTTTGCCCACTTTAGATTAGATTTCTGCTGGTTGATTGATTGTGATTTCAGTAAGTTATATCATACTGTAACGAACATGATGGCAAGTCGTTGCAACATTTAACGAACGTAGATATTTCACCCACCATGTGTTGACTCGGATGAGATCCGTATAGCATTGATCTCAGGACCTACCTTATCAATTTCACTCATCGTATGCGAGAATAAGAGCAGATAGCAACTCATATCCAATGTACGTACATATCTATGGAAGAGAAATTTGTGGAACCACAACAGATTACTCTCCAAAACGGCCTTTGAGGAGAAGAGGTTCCAACATATATGGAAGTATGGAACAAATCAAAAACGATCCAAGTCTATTCCGATGTTAGACTCTAACCAAGGCTAGATATTGCCCAGAGTGTCAAGAGGGGGCTGCTAGGCGAGACTGTCATGTCCCTAGCGTGGGAGACCTTTGTTTTGACACCATGTAAGCCTTCTAATACATGATGGAGTTTATAGAGTTCACAATAAAACCTAATTCTATATAATAAAAGGAATCACCGACGGCCACCATTTTCGACGGAACAGATTTAGATCTCCGACGGACACAACATCAACGGATTACCGACGGAATACTGACGGCCTTAATTACCGACCGATCGGATTACTGAAGGTCTAAACTACCAACAGATCACCGACAGCTTTTACCGACGGAAATAAAAAACGAAATAATAAATTAATTGAAGTTTGAAAGAATAAAACCCTAAGTAAGATGATGAGTGATTATCAATTTCTCTCCTGTATCAGCAAATATATATACACATGTTCCTATTAGTAGATGTATGACTACTACATAATGTTTGTCTATTCGAAATTTACATGGAATTGAGGACTAATGTTCAACATCAATTGCTTAAGCAGTCTGGACCGATTGTCCTATGAAGGTGTCTTAGAGTTTTCCTGTAATCTGAAAAGCCCATAAACCAGAAGTTGAAATCATCCATGGTTACTAACTCCACATACTTGTTCGACGGCCTCTTCGTGTTCATGCTCTCGCCTACTCTTTTTATCTTTTCCAACGGGATTGACACCTACAAAAACACAACTATGTCAATATACTCCTCTAAAACCAAAACAAACATTCACGGGATGTAAATCGGAGGCCGGCTCCCTACCTTATATTGGAACTTTAAGAGCTCCCCAGCTGTAGAATATGTTTGGAGGGATCTATCACTATGAAATCCAACCCTTTCGCTAGACATGAAGAGGATGCCTGCAATCGCACCGACGGTTGTGTATATGTGGCACCGGGAGGCATGCAACAACTTCTCACCATCCCTGGTACTGAAACTTTTCCTGAAGAGTTTTGCTTCGCGGCCAAGTGGTAGGATTTTGGTACCATAATTCAACTTCTGTTTCACAAGTTCCATTAGTTTGGGTACTAAGCTTGCTGCAATTACAAAAAAATGAAAACTTCGTTAGATTGAGCGACAGAAATAGAAATGTTAGTTTGCTGCAATCGTATCAGTATTGTGCGACAATATTTACCACGATCTTTAATCGCGACTGCGAAACTGCCTTTTCTTTCTAGGCTGTTAACGTTGATTTTGGAATTAGAAAGAGGATAATGGGGTTCGTAAGGTTTAGAAAGAAGTAGTCCCCTTGTTGATGTCATCGGAATACCCATGACACTGCTAGATAATCTGGTATCCATATTTCGAAGTCGGATTGTTGGGGTTTGATTTTCTTGATGGTATGGAAGCTACAAATGCTGAACATGATATTTATAAGCTTATATTTTAGCTGGATGAGTCATCTATGTGTCATGATCTTTGCTTGTGGTTTGAATGTGAGGGCATAGATGAATCTTGAATGAATAGTTTCACCCCTTTTTGACTTAATGAACCCAAATGAGAAGGTGGGTACCTCAGCTTTTTGTGGTTACTTTCCCTTTGGGTCCTCTTGATAAGGTTTATTTATATATATATATTTATGATCTAGTGTTATGCTGACTGTTTGTTCTAGATTTCCATCAAATGGTAATGTACAGTTGTTGGAAAAAAGCATATTACAATCGACACGCAAAGCATAGACGGACCTAGAGGGGTAGTTAGGTGGCACGTGCCACCGTATTGTTCCTCCGTGATAAGGTAAAAAAAATTAAGTTTGTAAAAGGTGCAACCGTTTTATTCTAAAAGGTGCAACTGTTTTATATGATGCCACTGTATTAAAAAATTCTTGGATCTGTCGTTGATGCCAAGAAATCATATGTGAATAACATCAGCATGCAAGATTCAGGAAACTGAAATTGATATGGTGAAATGCCTTTTTTTTAATTGCTTTTGTAAATTGAGGTGTAAAGTGAGGATAAGAGATCTTTTGGATATTTTTTTCCTCTCTGTTTATAGCACCAAAAATGGACCATGTCATTAGTCATTGATAGAGAATGATACAATGTATACATACAGATAAGAGAATGATACAATATATACATACACAGTGAGGTTAATGGAAAAACCCTCTAAAAAATGAAAAACCGATAAACATCTTAATAATCATGCATTTGTACAATATGCACACTTGATAGAAACCATGATACATCCTCAATTATTTGTATGCATATGTGCATACCGTACAAATGAATAGTTAGGTGTTCCTCAGTTTTTCATTTTTTACAGTTTCGTGAACCTGACCCTATATATATATATATATATATATATATATATAGAGAGAGAGAGAGAGAGAGAGAGAGGGAGGGAGGGAAGGGGGAAGATCATGCGAGAAGTTAAACATTTTGCGAGAAAGCGAAAAGTTTCAATATCATATATGATTACACTCCTTTAGGTGTTTAATCATATATGATTAAGCGTCTATATACTGTCAACACAACATGTGTTTATCATATATGATTAAACTTGTGTATCATGCGTGTAATCATATATGATTTTGAAACTTCTCGTGTATCATGCGTGTAATCATATATGATTTTGAAACTTCTCGTGTATCATGCGTGTAATCATATATGATTTTGAAACTTCTCGTGTATCATGCGTGTAATCATATATGATATTGAAACTTCTCGTGTTCGCACAAAATGCTTACCTTCTCAATTTAACATGCCTCTATATATAGAGAGAGGGGGGGAGTATGTATGTATGTATGTATAGAGCGGGGGGGACAATTAGGGGAAACCAAAAAAAAATGAAAACCTAAGTAACATTCATTTGGAGAGTATGCACATGTATATACAAGTAATTGAAGTTGTTTCTTGGTTTTTACGCACGTGTGCATGTTATGCACACGTGCATACAAAACAAATTGCTTGCAAGTTATTATATGCACATACGCATACGTTCCAGATGAACGGTTATCAGAATGTTCCCCAGTTTTTCAATATATATATATATATATATATATATATATATATCTTAAGAACTTGTGCATCAAGTATTATTTCACATGATTTTTTTCATCTAAGATTGGCATTTAGAATATTGATCAACATATATTTGTTTCACAATGTGTTTGTTTCATATGTACTCGGTTCACAATGTGAATTTTTTTATGTGATTGTGAATCAAAAAATACATGTAAAAAAATTTCACATTGTAAACCGAATACATATAAAACAAACACATTGTCAAACTAATATATGTTAATCAATACATTAAATATTTTGCCTAGATAGAAAAAAAAAATCATATGAAATAACACATGATACACATTTTCTCAAGGTTATCATAATTTCATAGGTTCTCAAATCATTAAGCGTGCGCGCATGCGCGTGTACACACACACATATATATATACACTTGAGATCATATGAGACCATCATGTTTTCATAAGACCCATAAGACCATTTTTTTACAATTGAAACTTTACAGCAAAACACTATATATGCATTGGCCCGACAATGATAACTTATACACATGGGTTTGTGTAGAAAGATACTAATCCCATATCCACAAGGACCACAACATCCATCCCATTACCAAGAAGTCAAGAACAATGCTCCCTACAGTCTGGAGCTGGGCCCTAATTATATTCTGTTTTATTGAGGGCAGGTGATGAAAACACTACTCACAATATACGAAAACAAACCCAGCTATGTAAATCATGTTGCTACAATAACCCAATTTTACCAAAGAGTCTTTGGACTAGCGGTATCGTAGTCTCTGGCCTCCTAGGAGATCAGGAGTTCAAACCTCACCAAAGGTGAAGAGGGTATATGAGTTTATTTGTTGCATTTGCCGTATATAAATATTATATATTTCAAAAAAGAAAAACAATAACCCAATTTTTTAGTCTCTAGAAATTCTTGCAAAATCAGTAATTCACAGATTATCTTCACTTCTTCGGTGTTGATAAACATCGATCTCGATGGTTTAAAAGCCTTGGATGAAAAGAAATGGAAGATTTGGTGAATAGAGAACAGTAAGATCGATCAAGAACTGGTAAAATTTAAGTTATTTCCCCTGAAAGATAGGATATATGCAGAACTGTCATCTATCCCAAAAAGTAGAACGGTAATATATTACAACTATGGTTGGTAATGCTTCATTATCACCACCACCCAATTAACCATTTCTAAAGAACAGTTGATTAAAAACCTAACAGATAACACACCTTCTCTCTGTTTGATCTTGAATTTGAATCTGAAACAAGTAACAAACACTTTATAAAAACCAACAAATCCTATAAAAGAAAAGGCAGAGAAATATGCACACAGCAAATAAAAATATTATCCCATTTAAAAACCATATAATCTTCCATTAGCTGCATTTAAGCAACCTTAATTAAATTAACACATCAGGCTCCCTTAAACTCCCAGTATAATTCACCTTACAAGATTCAGGAAACCTCAATCCGGCATCCTCACAACCGGCTTTCGTAACATGTGGGCATGACCGCACGTCCAGATATTCCAGCGACCTGCACGCTTCCAAAACCATGCCTATTCCCAACACCGTGATCTTTGGACAGTTACTCACTTTCAAAACCTTCAAACCCAGCCCGAATCCTGCGTTCCCCAATCCTTCAAATGCGCCATCCGTCACCTCCTCACAGCACCCAATGTCGAGAACCTCGAGAAACGTGCATTGCGAAAGGATGCAGTTTAATGAGGCGTCTGAAACGTTTAAACACCAATCCATTCGTAAGACCTTGAGGCTTTGAGAAGCAGCCGCCAGTGATCTTATTGAATCGCTGGATATGTCCCGACAGCCTCCGATTATGAGAGTTTCCAGATTTTTGCAGACGTTAGCCAATGTGAATAAAGATTTATCGCCAAGTTTATAGCAATCTAGCAGCTTTAATGTCCTCAGGGAAGTTGAACAAGCTTCTGCAATAACGGAGATTCCGGAATCTCCAACATTGGTACACTTATTTACATCCAAATGTTTTATGTGTTTACATCCGTCAACCAGAGCGGAGAGGCCAGTGTCTGTGATGTCGATGCAGCCTTGCAAACCCAACTCTTCTAAATTATGACAGTTTTTAGAGAGAGATTTTAGTAGCACGTCAGTGACAAAGCGGCAACCAGCAAGGTGTACGCTTTTTAGGTCATGGCAACCCTCTGTAATAGCTGATAATCCCTTATCAGTTAACTTCCTACAGTACGAAACATCTAACAATTGTAGAGAAGAGAGCCCAGTTGCAATCGCTGCCATTCCAGCATCCGTGATACCTACAAAACCATGATTGTTATCATTTATCAATAACTGAAGTAGCTCTCTTGTTTAAACAAATGTGGCAAAGGTAGGAACTAGAGAAGTAGCTACTTCCTATCTTCTGTGAAAAACATCATCTAAGGAAGATACGGTTGTTTATGAAAGAACCATCCATGTTGATCCAAACATTTTGCATGCAAACTGAAGAAGCCTATTGAGGCATTTCCTACATTAGCAAAGCCTCTAAAGGTGGAACCAAAAGAACAAAGCAAGTGCTTCCTACTAAGGTATCACCTACTGTTCTTGATTTAGATCTACCCACGTTATGTTCAAAGGAGAGCCTAAGGGGCTGCTTGGTTCATGAAATTGGAAGGAACCGGAAAGATCAATTCCTTTGGCAAATTTCATTCCTTTGTTTGGTTCACTTGAATACACGCATTCGGTAGTGGGAATAGAAAATTTGATCGGGCAAGTGGGCAACATTGGTGAAGGAAAAATAGCAGATAGTGGAGTGAGTCCATTAACCGGGACTTTGGGCCATAAAGTGGATTCCACATGGAGTGCTCAAGTTTCAAATAAAGGGAGGGAATACCGACAGTTGTCTGATAATGAAATACAACAGCGTCGAGCTCTTGGATTATGCTATCATTGCGATGAAAAACACAGCCCAGGGTATAGATGTAAAAAAGAAAAGGAATTGAATGTGTTGGTGTTTCAAGAGTCGGACAGGGAAATGAAATAAGGTGTTCTTGAACCAATCGAACAGTAATCGGAACATGACCTTGAGGTTGAGGTTTTCTTCAATTCCATTGTTGGGTTGTCGACCCCTAAAAAAAAGAAGCTAACAATGAAGCTGGAAGGCATTTTGGGGGGCAGAAAGCAGTGGTTCTGATCGTCAGCGGAGCCTCGCACAATTTCATAGCAACTGTATTGGTGAACAAGCTCGGTTTATCCGTAAGGGTAACTGCAGATTACGACATTTGGATGGGAGAGGGCGAAGCGGTAAAAGGCAAGGGAATCTGCAAGCATGTAAAGTTGTGGTTGCAAGGTATTGCCGTTGTAGCCGATTTCCTTCCTATTGACTTGAGGAACTCTGATTTGATCTTGGGGGTTCAATGGTTGGCTACCTTGGGACCTACGGTTATGAACTGGCAGACTCATGTAATGAAATTCAAGGTGGGTACGAATCAGGTTATCTTAAAAGGTGATCCATCTTCGGGAAGATCATTGGTTTCTCTCAAGGCTATGTCAAAAACAATCATACATGAGAAACAAGTGTATTGGTGGAATTGGTAAGTTTGAAAACACAAGATGCTGAAGTAAATCAAGTTCGGCCATTGATAAGTAGGGTGGTGGAAAAGTTTGACCGAGGTTTCATATGCCAGTCAGGTTACCGCCAAGAGGGGAAGGGAGCATGGAATTATTTTGAGAGATGGGATAGGACCAATGAAAACCCTACCTGTATCCTCAGTATCAAAAGGATGAAATTGAGAAGCTAATTTCTGAAATGATGGTTGCCGGGATAATCCAACATAACCAAAAGCCCTTTTTCGAGCCCCGTGTTATTGGTTATAAAATATAGAAGTTGGAGGATTTGCGTGGATTATCGTTCATTAAATAAACAAACAATTTGGGACAAGTTCCCTATTCAAATTATCGAAGAGTTACTGGACGAGTTACATGGAGCGAGTTTTTTATCTAAATTGGATTTGAAGTCGGGTTATCATTAAATGGGGATGAAAGAGAACGACATGCATAAGACCAACTCATGAGGAACATTACGAGCTTTCAGTAATGCCTTATGGATTATCGAATGCTTCCACAACTTTTCAGGCACTCATGAATGGAATTTTCCAACCGTTCATTCTAAGGTTTGTATTGGTGTTCTTCGATCATATTTTGGTATATGGTAGGAACGAGGAGGAACATGCGATTCATTTGGAAGATAAGTTACAGGTTTTATGGGAGAACCAACTTTATGCCAACTTCAAGAAAAGTGTGAATTCGGGCAACGGTCGTTGGTTTCTTTAGGGTACGTGGTGTCCAAGGATGTTGTAGCCATGACCTCATAAAGATAGATGCAATGTTGAAGTAGCCACAACCAACAACAATGACTCAATTGTGAGGCTTCCTTGGTTTAACGGGAAATTGCAGGAAGTTTATTAAGCATTATGACCTCATTGCACGACCCTTGACTGATTTGTTGCAAAAGAACAACTTCGGGTGGAATGAGGCAGCAGCCTCTTTTCAAGAGTTAAAACGAGTTCTTACAACTGATTATGTTTTGGCATTACCAAACTTCAACAAGCGGTTTGTAGTGGAAATTGATGCTTCGGGTTTTGGGGTTGGAGCGGTGTTAACACAAGAGGGAAGACCCATGGCTTACTACAGCCAAGTTTTTGGGAAAGAGGCTCGTTTGAAATCCATTTATGAGAAGAAGTTGATGAATGATGACAATTGTTTTTGCTAATTTGAAATGGCGGCCTTACTTGATTGGAAAACGTTTTTTGGTACAAACAGATCAAAAGAGTTTGAACTTCTTGTTCGAGCAAAGGGTAGTCAATCCACAATACCAAAAATGGCTAACAAAAATATTGGGTTGTGAATTTGAAAACGAATATGGGCAGTGAGAATCGAGCAAACGCTTTGTCTCGGAAGGGAGTTGAATGTTCGATTATATTAGGTCCCCAATGGAGCCAACAGAAACTAATTCAAAAGGAGATTGAAGGGGATAAATTGTTGGGTAGAACTAAAAAAGAGGTGACAGACCAACAGGGCAGCCATAAAGAGTTTATTGTCAAGCAAGGGTTATGTAGTATAAAGATCGGTTAGTTGTTACAAGATCGTCTTCGGTCATCCAGCTGATCTGGGATGAATTTCATTGTTCTCCAATAGGGGGTCATTCAGGGGAAGAACGAACGTACCAACGAATAGCATCCGAAATTTATTGGATAGGAATGAAAGGGGCATCCGTGAAAGGGTGTGACAATGTGAAATTTGCCAAAGGAACACTCAATGGACTCTTACAACCCCTTGCTCTACCTATGAAGATGTGGGACGAGATCACGGTGGATTTTATAGAAGGGTTGCCAACGTCTGATGAAATCGATACTATTATGGTTCTGGTGGGTTGTCTTACCAAATATTCCCATTTTTTGGCTTTGAACATCCTTTTTCTGCCAGCTAGTGGCCGAGATGTTCACAAAGGAGGTATTGCGTCTACATGGGATTCCGGTGTCTAAATTATCAGATCGTAATGAAGTTTTTCTGGTGTCTAAAATATCAGATCGTAATGAAGTTTTTCTTAGTGCCTTTTGGAAGGAACTGTTTAATCTCCAAGGCACCCAATTAAAGTTTACTACAGCTTATCACCCATAATCTGATGGACAATCGGAGATCGTGAATAGATGTGTGGAGCAATATCTGAGGTGTTTTATGTGCAATAAGCCAAAGAAATGGAGGAATTTTTTAGCTTGGGCGGAATATTGGTACAACACTACATACCATAGTGCAATCAAATGTTCACCTTTTAAGACTTTGTATGGAAGGACCCTCCGGCTTTATTGCGGCTTAATTTATTCCTTCTGTTGAACAAATGTTACAGGACAGAGATGATTTGGTAGATGAGTTAAGGATGCATTTGTTACAAGCTCAGCACAAGATGAAACAATATGTTGATTTGCATCGAAGGGAGGTTATGTTTGAGGTCAGAGATTTGGTTTTCTTGAAGTTAAGGTTGTATCGACAACAATCTTTGGTAGGATGTTATAGCCAAAAGTTGGTTGCTCGGTTTTACAGACCTTATCAGGTTGAAGAGAAAGTGGGTAAGGTGGCATAATATACCATTTAGAATTGCCAGCATCAGCTAAGATGCACCCGGTTTTCCATGTGTCGCAGTTGCATCAAGCTATTGGACCTTGTGCTTCCTCGGATATGCTGCCCCCCACAAATTAAATGTTGAATTGGAGTTAACCGTTGAACCTGAGGAAGTTTTACAATGTCGTTCTCGACCGATAGATAAAGGGGGAGAGTTGGAAGTATTGGTTAAATGGAAGGGTTTGCCATTGTTTGAGGCTTCTTGGGAAGATTACGAGTTGCTGAACAATCAATTTCCGGAATTTCACCTTGAGGACAAGGTGCAACTGTGGCGGGTGGGTATTGATGGAGCTGAAATTAAATACACGTATTCTAGAAGAAATAAGAGAGGAGGGCAGAATTGTAATTGTACCAGAGTTAGTGGTGAAGTAACTTAGTAGTGGAATGGGAGGTTAGTCGGTGGAGTGCAGATATAAATAAGTGTTCAGAAATCTGTTAGAAACATCGATATTTTTGTGTTTCATTGTGTAGGAGAGCTGCCAGCCTCTTGAATGCTGGAGTTATGTGTTGTAGTCTGCATTGGTGACTTGCAATCTAACAATCATTTTGTGAATTAATAATCATTCGACTGTTGTTTTCTTCCAAATTTTGTTTGTGATTTTTGTTTTTTTCTTCACTGTGTTCATCAGTAGAACTAGGGAATTTGATATCCAAAACTATAAGTGCACAGAAGAATTGAGGAACAAAAGTATGCACTTTTTTCCATCTGCAAACCAAACACCATATCTTACCATAATAATACATACATTCAATCAAGGAATAGCCGACCAAAAATTCTAGAAGACCGCAAATAAGTACCAGTTAATTCAAAATTATGGATTGTACTTGGTGCTTAATGAGGGTCATTGCATACAGTTTGGAGTTGTCAGCTAATTCACACGTCTGCCCTGTTTAACACCTCCCTTTTGAAGATGTTGGCAAAGCTAGTTATACCTTTGTCAGAGCAACTTAGCTTGACACAAGATAAGTAATGACTAATCACTACTTTAGGCAGGTGAATCATGAATATGCAAAGGGGATGTTGTAGGCCAAGTCCTAATGCAGCGATCAATGTTCCTACCAGTCATCACGATGGTAAAGCGGTGGTATAGCGGTCCACAAATAGAGGTTCATGTAATAGTTACAATTATATATAAATGTATGTATGTATGAATATTATATTATATATAGTGAAGATGAACAAAAGAACACATGAATTGAAGAGATGACGAGCAAACGATGTGGGAAGACGATGTTGTTGTCGTGAATAGAAGATGCAGAAGAGTAGAAGACGATCCACAATGATGGAATAGAATAAATGAGATAGGAATAACAAGTTTACACACCGATACTGCAAATCAAATCAGCCCCTAGATCGTAATCCCTTAATCGACTTCTCTAAACCCTTTAAAAGGCCAACTGAAACCCAACCCCTCATTGTGGTTTTCGCACGCTATTGCAAATTAAAATTGAGGCCCAATTCTGATGATTAGCGCCGCTATTAGCGGAACCACTGTTTCCCCTAGGACTGCTAACCACTATAGCACCGCTATTAAGAGCATAGTTGTTCCGAATTAGTGAGGTAGGAGTTATAGTGTCATGCAAGGGATGTTCTTCATAGGGCTAACTGCTATAGCACCGTTATTAAGAGCATAGTTGTTCCGAATTAGTGAGGTCGGAATAATAGAAAGTCATAGTTTTGTCATGCAGGGATGTTCTTCAACTTGGTTTCCACGGGTTAGGACCTAGAATTGGAACAAAATATCAATAAATTTTGAATTGCAAAAAGGGTCTACTTCAATTCAATACCTCGTAGTTGTTGCAAATTAGTTTCTCCCAAGTTGCAACTTCAAGCTACAACCAAAATATAAGGATTAGCAGGGAGCTCAAGAATTCAAAAGAACAGATGAGAAAAAGAATTCATTTCATTCCCCAGTTACTCCCACCAACAAATCCTAACATTTTTGTTTCAGTATTTCTACTTCTAGCCCCATTATGTCACTTTCTTTCACCTCTAACTACCTTTGGAAAAAGGTATATCAATCTAAAATACCAGGGTTGTTAAACATCATGTTGTTTGCTAACCTAAAATTTTCCTTTTAGCGACCTCAATATTTTAGATTGATATACTTTCTTTTAAAGGCGGTTAGAATTGAGAGAATTTGACATTATGTTGGATCATAGAACTAGAGAATATAGAAACAAAATTTAGGATTTGTTGGTAGGAACATCTAGGGAATGAAATGAATTTTCTTTCTCATGTATTAATTCTTCTATTTTGGTTGTATCTTAAAGTTCCAACCTGGGAGTACTAATTGTCAACAACCACAAGGTACTAAATTGAAATAGACCCTATTCCCAATTCAAAGTCATAGATATTTTGTTCCAATTCCACTTCCTAACCGTGGAAACCAACTTCAAAAACATCCCTACAAGCCAAAACCATGAGTTTCTTCATAAATCCTACCTCAATAATTCAGAACAACCATATCACAAAACATCAATTGGGGATTTTCCATACCGAGAGAAAGAAGAATAAACAAAGAAAGAAAGAAAAGCAAATCAGACCTTTGCAATTTTGAAGCTTGAGTTGATGTAAGGCGGTAAAGCCAGTGGCGATGACGGATAGATCTGAATCAGTGACTCCGGGATAAAAAGAACGTGATGCGGACTGAGAAAGATCGAGATCCTTAAGACGAGTGAAACGAGCAGCCATCTTTCGAAGCATATGAGGACCAGCACGAGCACAGAGCTTCTTCCTCTCTGTACTCTGGATATAAAGCCATCTCTTGCAAACAAGACCGAAAACTTCCTTATCTTTGTCGGTTTCTAGTTTACCCAAGACTGTTCGGAGCTCATCGTCCCTCAATCTGTCGTTAATGCACATATCTTCCTTTTTGTGTTCCCCCATGATCTTCTTGAAGAAATGAGAAATCAGAAACCCTAATTCAAGTCTTCTGAACTCTTCCTGTCTGTCATTCTGTGGTAGCTTTTGAGTTGCGATTCGGATCGTCCAAACTCAACTTCGATAACGATTGAGGCGTGTTCTGACCGTTAAATTAAATATATATAAAAAAAAAGTAATATATTTTATATTCGTTAAAGCGTGTAAAATTAGGGTACCAAACTGATTTCAGGGAGATGAAAACGTTTACATCCCTCCATCATTTTTACTATCAAACTCATTCATGAATTACGTTTATACGGGAATTGATCTGATGCATTTCATCCCAATATGCATCCAAAGATAAAGATCTTTTCTTACACTTCTAACATATACTTTACTTCTCACAAGATTCCAACCTTGGTTTTAAAAAGACAAAATTAACATTTGTGAAGCAATATCGTAAATCATATCCAAGTCATGTTACCTCACCTAATGAATATGGTAATCATCAAGAATCTTATCCGGTAAAAGCAAGACAATGACCATGAATCTTACATATTAAGTAAAAGCGACGACTCTTACCATGGTAAGCGCTTACCGGGTAAATTATTGCATATGATGTCGTTTTGGTGGACTAAAATCTTACCCGATAAGTAAATAATAATGTTAAATTTTACCAGTAAACACTTACAGAATAAATGTTTGATAAACGACCCATAAGTCAAATATATTAAATGATTGATCAATGATAGCATGTTGTATTACATTAATCAATGTTGGCATTATATCAAACTTTAGATGTGGACAATAATATTCTTAGAAATGCCAACAATAATATTCTTTGACCTAACATGACCAATGGGGCATCTTTAGTTGAGGGGTAATTCAGTCATTTAATATGATTGACAGGTAAGTCAATGTTAATAATTCTATGGTAAAAAATGAGTGTAAGTTTTAAGGTTTATATGGGATTATGTATAAAATATTATATATTATATTCATATAGGATTGATAATTAAATAAGAACCTCAAAATATATGATTTAAGATATTGTTTCATATATGTTTGTGTTCACGTTGTGAAAAAAATTAAATGTGAAACTTCTTTTTGTTCATTTAGTAAAACGAAAAATACATGTAAAAAAGTTTCACATGGTAAAACAAATACATGTGAAACTATTGTACTATGAAACAAATATTTTATGAAGCAATATCTTAAATCCTATCATTTGATGAAAAGAAAATCATGTAACAAATATTTTTAAATCGATTCTAACGGGTTTATAACAATTTTATAGTTCTCGTTTGATTTGGTTCCCATATACATATACACACACATGGATCTAATCGAATGAGAAGTCTGTAGTGTGTGTGGACATAATCAAATGAGAACCCGGTAGTAGTAGTGTGTGGACCTAATCGTGCGTGAGTGCATGTGTGTGTACATGTAATCTTGAATTAGAAGTTACCCCTCCCCTCCCCTTTCTTGATTGCTACACAAACTATTTTCGGCAGTCGAGTGGTGGCCGGAGTGATAGTGTTCTTAAAATGTGATCAAATCCGGACCCAATTCGATCTGTGCGAAACCTATAATCATGATGACTTATTTTTTTTTTTGACAATTAATCCTGCAAGTCAAACCACATTTCTCATTGTGTTTGTTTGTTGTTGTTGCTGCTAAATTCTTCTCTGTCTCTGATGGGGTGGTGGAGAAAAAGGGTGTGACGATGAAGGGAAAAAAATCACCTGTAACCCCTTCCTTTATTTCCTTGAATTCGTTCGACCAAATTTCGACTTGTATAAAGGCGTGAGACTAATACGTAAATGTAGAGGGTGCATATCTATACTATATTATAAAGCATTTGACTAAAACTCTTAAAAACTCTTAAAAACTCTTAATCCCTTCCCATATCTGAATTCGTGTAACTAACTACAGATAAACACAATCAAATACAGAATAAACATCTCATTTTAAATATAAAAAATCTAAAATATAATTAGTATGATCATTAAATTCTAATAGAATAC